TTCCAGTTTCAGATCGTTAGTTTTCACTACTACAGGAAGTTCAGCTACCGCCCGCTAGAAGCAAAAAAAAAAAAATTTTAAAGACATCGAGTGAGAGAATTGGGCTCCAAAACACCCTTCCGTACAATGATACAAAGATGGAAAAAGGACAAAAGAAAATGAAGAAAGTTACGGGTAATAACCAGAAATTAGCTAATTCAAAGTCCTCCCAAACTGTTCAATATATTTCTTATCTGCATTGGCTAGGCGATCTTGAAACTGCACCCACTCACTTCTGCACCTCTCTCTTACCTACCAAATTAGATAGAAAAGAATTCAAGCTAGTTACTTGACGTTTGGACAAATCTAATGAAATTCAGTTCAATGCAAAATCATGCAATTCAAACAGAGTGCAGATATAAGACCTATGAATCCTAATTTAAACATGATTGTTAGAATGTAGGTGATATAGAATAACTCAGATTACCATAAAATTGGATGAAGAAGCTTTCAGAGTTGACTTTTGCAAAAAAAACGAAGGACAAAGAAAAGGCCTCAATAAAAAAATATACAGAAAGGTTGAAATGGAAACCGAACAAGTAACAGCTTACATACCCCTTGCCAAGGAGCTTTTCCATTTTCAGATTGACCCTGGAATCAACGAAGCTGAAGCTGTTAGCATCATTATCAACAAAACAAATCTAAATGAGGGGAAACCAGATCAAGGGACAAGTAGGATAATTGACGTGGAAGAAAAAAATGTAAATAAGGGGGTTGCTGCTAAAAAGTTGCTTATTTTATAAATGAAGAACCATTTGCTCAAAAATGGAAATTAAAGTTGAACAGAACAACATTTGCAAACAACTAAACTTCATTATTTTAATCACCTCTAGGAAAAGGAAAAGCAAGTCCCGATGGTTGTAATAAAGTAGTTAACTGACCTGACTTCCCAGAGAAGGAATAACTTGATGAACTATCCACTGAGAGTCAACCACATCAATTTTCTCATGTGCAGGCTACACAGGCAAAATACACTTACAATGAAACTGATAATACGCAGACATCCATTTGAAATACATACATGTTTTCCAATTTTATCTGTTTTACATGCCACTGTCCCGCAGATCTCTCCTTCCAACAGGAATATGAAAAGCAGGTAGACAAGCCTTCTTTTCTAAATCTTTCAAATAATACAGTGATAAGAAACAAATAAAACCACTGACCTCCACACATCTCCTTAGTGCAAAATCCAATCCCCAACCATGCACCAAATCATTCTAGAAATGTTATTGAAAGTAAAAAATCAGCGTGAGCTCTAAGCTGGAAAGAACCAAGGCTAATGAGAGCAGCTAAAAGCAAAAATAGTTGGAGGTACAACAAGGCTTAAAACATACGTATACAAATGACAAAGTTAGAGAAGGGAACCTGAATCATATGCCAAACACATCGCCAAGCATCCCGCGAGAAAACAGGAGCCACAATTTCCACAAAGCTGAATTCAAAAAGGAAAAACACAAGGAAAATTAGTTGAAGGTAAATGTTGAAGCCACCCCAATCCTTTATACTTTTCTTAACTATATATCTCCATTTTAAGGGCCTGAGCATAAATCATGGGTCATAACTCAACCTACAAACACTACCATAAAATCAAATTTTTCAACAATAAGACGTGATATTGCTATGAGATGTCTTGTAGCTAAGCTCTTCTTTTTGGCAATGGTCAACCTGATGAAGAAATATGACCATCAGAGAAAGTGAGCTTCTTGTTTCTGGCAATTTCAACTTTCAAGCCATGTAAATAAACAATAGTTTCCCAAGACAACATTTTTGTTGTTTTTCAGTTTAATATTATTATTTTCTTGGGTTAAAGAGATTGACCTTCGGAAAACCAAACAATCAATCTCTGGAAAATTTAAATCTTTGGAAAACCAAACAATCACTCGGAAGAGAAAAAAACAAATCCTTTTCAGGTTTGGATTATAAGAAAATAAAAACAAGAAAAACAAACTGCATGGCTCCCAAATTGCCATTCAGTCAATCAAAAGAACAATGTATCAGTTCAAAACTACAAAATTCAATCTATTATGATAAGTGAACCCTGCTCAATTACAATACAATCTCATCTCATACTACCTGGGGTCAGTAACTTGCTATCATCTTCTTTCCCGCAGGTGTCTCTAATATCAGAAAATAATGTTTCTTCCATTTATCTCCTTTTTGAATGCGAAGAATTAGCATAAAAGTCCTTAAAAAGTTATTCATAAAGAGGTTAACATATTTAGTTAACTCTACACTCATGACTGTAAGCGTTGGTAGATTTATTAGTTTCAGATACTAAATGATCCTCAGATATCCATTAAATATAGAAGAGATAAAAATTCAGACAAAGCCAGCAATTCTAAAGCCCAAACTGCTAGCCGAAAAATCGTGGAATTTTACACAAATTATACCAAAACCTCCAATTCTCTTAGCTAAATATAATAAATTACCAAAATTTACGAAACCCACAATGGGTATTAGGGCAAAATAATTCCCAAGGTCGGTTTTTTTCTTGAAGTGGTTCGATTATTAAAGAGGGGAAACAACGAAAGAGAACAAGATTTCCTAATGTTGTGCACCAATTAAGGACGATATACTACTACTCCGTTGAAATGTAGATAGAAATTCAGATTAATTGAAACAAAAGAAAAAAGAGCGCGAAAGAGAGAGATTGAGATATTGAGAGAAGGAAGAAAGTTGAAGAAAATATACCTCCGGTTGCAAGGTTATTCTCGGTCTGAAGAACCGCGATACTCTGCATCTTGGACGCCATCGTACCTTCTCTTCTATCTATCTCCCTGAGATTAGCTTTCCTTTTTCAGTTCAGAAACTTCTACTGCGGATTCCGTCTGTAAGTAGTAGAGAGCTACATTAGAAGATGTGGCTGGAATTTGATGATGGGGAGGAGAGGGAAAGACAAGTAAAGAGGGGCAGCCAAACAAACGGCTTCCAGAGTCCAAATCCCAGCTACCAAAGAAATCACAAACCAGTCTCCTAAAAGCAATGAAAAAAATGCTTGCACAACAAAACACAAGAACCATTAGCATCAAACAAGTTTTTACAGAGGAGGAGAAAAACATGAATACAGAGCAACCTGAAGAGAAGACCCGACCTCACTGGAGAGAAAGAAGAAAGCACAAGATCTGCAACCAACAGTGAAGATGGCACGTCCTTGGGCGGTAACAAGCCCGTGGATGAGAAAAAAAAGAGAAAACTGCACGTCAGTGGACAAGGGACAAAAGAAATACGAACTTTAGCCAAAAAAAAAAAAACAAAAAAAACAAAAAGAGGGGCAGACCAGAGGTAACCCGAAGAGAAGATCTGACCTCACCGGAGATGAAGAAGAAAGCCTATTACAACAAAACAAAGGAGGAGGTCAACAAAATTTTGTACCAGGTTCCAGAGGATGCGGATAAGTGATAGAGCAACATTATCCCAAAAAAAACCAAAAAAAGAAAGAAAGAGAATGTAATGGGAGAGAGAATGCAGCGGGAAGAGAGCAAATGCAGCAGAAGATCAGAAAGACGGAAGCACGGGCACATGGGACACTGGCAGGCGAGGCCAGATGGGAAAACTAACGCGCGATGCGCGAACAACATGATGATTCCAATCCACATGCCGGGCACGTGAGAGGACGACGAAAATTCTGGCTGAATGGAGTTGCCATGTTATCTACTTATGTTGATGAGACTGGCACTTGAGTACCGTTCATTTGTTTGATAGTCAACAAGCGGACACGGACTTGCTCCATTGACTAGACTAGATTCTGCGGCAGAACAAACGGATGATAACCCTTTCTAATAGGTAATCCATTCATTGGACATACATGAAATGCGTTTGTTTGGAAGTCTTTTACGATCGTACTTTAGGCTCTGTTCTAGAAGAGAAAATGAGGATTGAATCGATAATCAATCCACAAGTGGACTTGGTAAATCACCAAATTAATCATACTCGCTTTATTTATTTATTATTATTTTTTTTAAAAAAAAAGCAAAGAAAAAATTAGTTAAATTACTTACTTAAAAGAATTAATGGTAATCATACTGGCTGGTAGTTATGTGTCAGCTGCCTTAGCTTGAGTTGTGATTGCTGAAGACACGAGGATCCTGAGTGGGGTGCGCGGGTGGGAAAGGCCAGAGAGTCAAAACGTGTCCAACCCAAGAGAGAGTTCCAAGTTGGGCCAGGGACCAATGGCCTTGCTCAGCCGCCCTTGCTTTTTTTAGCATCCGAGTACAGAAGGGTAGTTCTAATTTTTGATACATCCCAAGTGGTGGGTGGTTGGGAGCATCCACGATGTACAACTACGACTTGTTATTATTAGTTACTAGTATGGTAGGCTACAAAAGAGAACGAAGTGAGCTAAAATTATTATTTGATTGATGTTGTCCCCATGACATGACAATAAAGAAAAAAAAAATTTACTATTTTCTGAGTCCCAAAAAAAAGACTATTGTGTTTGGATTAACTATTTTTTAGTTGAAAAATTTTACTGTAACAGAATTTTTATAGTATATTTTGAAATATTTTTTAAGATATTTTTTAAATGTTAAAAAAAATTTAAACTACTTTTTAGAGTGCTTTTTAAAAATTTTAATAGTATTTGAAAAACTCGGCAATCCAAGCAAATTTACGTAATTGGGTATCATCACTCTTTGTTTTCTGAAACGGACAGGTTTTGAAAGAGCTACCAATTGACAATGACAATCGATCGGTTATCACGCGTGCCGTTGCAAATCATACAAAGAAAAATATTTGGTGGGTGAAGTGATTAATCAAAGGCAAGTGACGACAGGTGAGAGACAGTAGTAGTGAAATCATGCACATAGATTATTCTACATAGAAGATGGAATGGAACTACCACCCTTTTTCTTCTTCTTTTTTATATATATATATATATATATATAAAAAAAAAAAAAGCGTGTAGGCTGCAGACTGTAGATGGAGAAGACAAGTGAGAATACGTGACATGGATGCTGGGCTTCATCCAACCCAATCATTGGAGGGTACAATCCTTGCCGTACCACCCGGCATACGTAGGTTTTCTAGCGGGGGTTGAGGGTTGATTATTATTCGCCCACGTTTCCTTCTCTTGCCCAAGCTAATAATAAAACGATTGATGCCTATTTGGGGGGTAGATTTATACCCAGAGCTTCAAGCTTCGTTTGTCCAAATCTAGTGAACAGGACAAGAACATGGGCCGCCAGTGAAAATCTGATCATTGCTGAATTAATACCCGCTTCAAAAATGCTAAAGATGCTCTTATAGCGCAAGGCGATAAACTGGACAAAATCTCCACCGATTCGTCATCCGTAGGCTCCCAAGACTTCCAGAACCAGCCCAGACTTCTTGACCCAAATAGAAAATTGTAGAAGGAAGAAACCTGCACCCATGGGCATCGCAAATCTTTGCTGCCAAGAGTTGTTCTATCTATACTCGAATACAGCCAACTTCAAATACAAGTTTATATATAGATTAGAAAGAGCATGGAAATGGATAGTTTAGCATCAGGAGTTCAGGATGGTTGATGAATTTAATTAAAATGCAGCTCAGACGTAATACTAAGGGCAGGGGGTGTTGTTTCTTCTTTATTCTTCTTGTCATGGGTTCCTCCATCAAAGTCTTGGGTTGAAAAACTTCAGCTGATATCTGCACTAGACCAAAAACCGCAGTGCAGACCTTCCGATTGCTGTACACGAAATAACAACCTAGTGTCTACTGGGACCTGCCTAAAACTTCAAGTCCCATGATATGAAGATGTATCTCTCATCTATGTACACCAGCCACATCCCCGAAAACACTTCTGAAGAGAGAATTAATCAGGAGGACACCCACCTCGCCAGACGTATCAAGAAAGATAACACTTCTGAAGGATCTTGCAAGGAGCATAAAGCCAAAGTGTCTCTTGGGGCCGAAGAGACGATGATAGGATATCCTACTCCCCTGCGTCGAAGTACCTGGACAATCCAGTCAAGAATTAAACTTTCGTGTTTCGTGTGCCTTAACAGCCATCAAACCGTCTAATCTCGAAAATTTACCAGTACATATTAAGCAGTAAAAATCACGGTTCTTCAAAAAATAACTAATGATTACCTTGAAAGCGTCTTCATCAGTTCTGTCATCTCCAATATAAATTGGGAGAACTCTGCTGGAACTTGCAAAGCCAAGGGTATCAAGCAAGTAAGCCAGTGCATTGCCTTTGTTCCACTGTATCGATGGCCTGATTTCTAAAACCTTTTTGCCTCTCGTCAGATGAAAGCGTGGGTACCCTGCAAGTACCGACAGAACCTTCTTTTCTAATGGACCATAATCCTGCGGAAAACCCCAAAAAATACTGATAATTAATGGGTATTTATTACAAAGTCCGAATTTGTCATCATTTTTGGGCTGATTATTCAAGTGACAAGAACGATGCTGTAAAACTTACAACTTGGGCAACATGTCGGTAGTGAACAGAAATGCAGAACCCATTATCCTCGATTAAGACACCTTCGATGTCACTGGTTCCCTTCTGCATCTTATCTAATATCTGGTGAAGCACAAGAAATTTGCTTGATTGAATCCGAACAAGTAACAAAAAATATAGCAGTTGTATCACCATCACAGGAAATTCAAAGCAAAATTCGCCACAAAACATCAAAGGTCGGTCCTTCATACTTCCTACTGTAGTTGTCAACGTCAAGATTTAAGCTTAGAACGAATAACAGGGAAAAAAAAAAAACCTATGTTGTGTTTTTGAGTCAGCTCACCTCCTGAATTGCAGGCAGAAACTCCTTGGCAGGTTGGAAGATGGATAGTTCATCACCCTGCAAATTTTTATCCAGCGGTATTAGCTAGTTTGTCAATATCTATATACATGCATACAAGTATTTTCAATTTACGGTCAACCCCTGCTTTACATACTTTCTTATCAAGGGCGTTTGTGTGATACTTGCCCTCGTAGGAGTAGGACTTCAATTTCGTAGGAGGCCCCATGATGTCCATCCCATGGCTCCCAGCGTAGTATACCTCATCTAGCTTAACAAATTGATATACCTGAAAAGCGAAAAAAACAAATTAAACACAAGAAACAAAATAACATAATTAAATATTTGGATCTAAATCAATGTAGGAAAGAAGAAGCAAATTAATATGTTTTGCTTCCTTTCGGATAAGAAGTAGGTAAATGATAATAAAAAATATATATATATATATATATATATATATTTTTAAATATACGTAAATATTACTGCATTACATGCAGTTTATTACCTTGTTGCGGCTCCTACCACTTATTATAGCGGTCGGAAAGTGCTTGGCAACTTCCCCTACAGCCGAACGCATCTGCATATCACAACATTTCAGAACTGTATAAGCAAAAAAAGTCATGGGCGGCTGCGCTGATGATATCTATATCGATATCGATAGGCGGTTAGTGGCGGACTGATGGCTATAACTTCTTATCAAATGCTGTCTGAATAATTCCAAATGTTTACCGCATCAGACATAAATGCACGGTCGGGCTCATCCACAATGGGTGTTAGAGTCCCGTCGTAATCTAAAAAAATGACGATTTGCTTTCCCACTGCTGCTTTCATGATCCCTTGGAATGCTCTCAATGCAGAAGGGTGCTCTTTCTACGTTCAAATTAAAATAGAATAAACAATATACCCAAATTCCAAGAAAAATAAACAAATAAATAAAGGAAGTTAAGGAATTGAATTCCAGAGGAAAACATCATCTTGGATTCTTCTTTGCTATCTGATGAGATGAGCACAACCCTTTATTTACTCACCAACCAATAACTGTACTTGGAATCAGCTGCATTGAGCTCGTCGGGGCTATCATCCTCAATGTATTCGTGGGGTTCAATCTTATCGGTTCTTGCTCTTGAGAAGTAATCCACGCCATACCTCGCCGTCGTGCCAAACAATCTGCTGAATCCCATATTGAGCCTGTCAAAATTCTACTACCTGTAGCAACAGTTGTCAGGCATAGTACTATTCAATCGTTGGGCCTTGCAATGGTAAACGTCCATACGGGTCTTCGACATGGGGTTGGAATTTTTACGACCGACCCAGGTATTGTATTGTATTTCTACTTAGGGGGAAAAGAATATACTACAGCCATCTCAACAACAACAATTCCATCAGGGCTAGGAAACAAACAGGAAAGAAACCGACCAAACCTTTAACAGATAACATCAATTGCTTTGAGTCGAAAAAAAAAACCTTTAACAGATAACAGTTTTTTTTTCCCTCGTTCGGAGAAACCCATCTTTTTTTCCCACCTAAAGAAACCATCAATGGACTAGACCCAAAAGAAAAATTACTAACATGGATTGTATTGGGCTTCAGCCTTAAATGGATATCTAACCAATGGAAAACACATAGGATATCCAGTAAATTAGACGAAGAACTTCTTCATGAAAAATTCCGAATGTACTCCTGTATATATATATAGATATGCATGTATGTATGTACTGGTAAGAATTCAACTTAAGATAGCAAAAGTAAAGATTGGAGGAGTATAAGAGGAAAAGAAAGTTGTGGCGAGCATACCCGTTAATGGAGAGACTTTTTAAGTTCGGGCAAACGTAACCGACAATAAAACTGGAGGATGAAAGAGACGGAATAAGAAGAAGCCTGAGGCGCTAAATACGCTCGTGCGCCTCGGATATCTTATATAGATAATACTTCGGGGCTACCAATCCTAACCAAGTTCGAACACCTACACTAAATTGGTTTCTTCAAAATTAGATTTAAAAAAAAAAAAGAAAGGAAAAGAAGAGGAAAAAGCCCCAACTAATATATTGAAACCGACCCCACTATTTAAAAAAGAATTCAAAAAGGAGTTCCACTTTAATCATACCTCCTAAATAAGGAACGAACGATTTTTCCAACCAGCTGCTAAATTGGACACGGTAGTCCACTTCAATATCTAATTCACTGGAGCGATTTAGATGCAATGCACCCCACTTCTACTGTGAATAAAGCAAGCAATATGGTTGGGGGGTGCACTAATTTCGGGAGGATCATCATTAAACCGACCACAATTCTCACCTCAACATATGATGTCATCAGTTGGGATCCTCTATGCTATTATTGGGTATCAAATTCAGTGTCAATCCCACCTATCACGTGATGATGATAGGAGAAATTCAAATAAACAGCACATGACAAATTAAATAAATAGGACACTTGGCATAAATATAGAAGTGGCACCGAAAAAGTGGTTCTGAGGATCCCGTGTGTGATGTCATGTGGAGTAACTCAAAATCGAACAAATAAATAAAAGATTTCATCTAACAATGAGAAATTCGTTAGAAGACGCACCTGGATTCTCCGGAGCAAGCACTTGCCAAATGAACCTAAATACTGACGTTTGAGTATCAAATAGCACTGGTGAGGAGTTAAAACCCAAAAAGTAGTCGTTAACTTTTTGCCAAACGAGTTGAGTGGACGATGAACTTCCGAGTACTCACACCTCAAAAACAATAACGAGTCCCTGCATCTATGAGACTATATATATATATATATATGAAGATTTCAAAAATTCTAACAAAAAATAGTAGTAGTATATATATAAGCTTAATAAAAAGAACTTTTTTGACGTGTGAGTCGGACGAAAATCCGAATAGAGTAGGGGAAAGACGCAGCAAGGTTACAAGTGGCTCCGGGTGATTAGGTATATGACCATTGTACGGGACCCCTATTATTATTATTATAGTTCCAAAAGTCATTTTGGAGCAAAAGTAGGATGATGCGGAAATTAGATTTGATGACTCATCCTGATCGATATGGGAAAAATGGAATGCTTTTCTTTAGTCAAGTAAGGTCTTAATCAAATGGTAGAAGTCACACCGACATGAGCTACAGGTTTAATCGCCAAAAAAAAAAAAAAAAAAAAAAGGACTCATACGATACGATAAATGCCGTTGGCTCCACTTAACTACCCGTCTTGACCCTGATTCCGTTTAACTGAATGCCAAACCGTTGGGAGATCTAAACATACTGACCAGAATGAAAATGACAGGCGCAATTTCTTGCGCGTTCTCACCATCCTTCCCAAGATTACTACGTGTTTCTAAGTTGCTTCTTCTACCGGTACCAAGATTTTAAACGTTAAATTTTTAAAACTGATCAAGTGAACACAACACTGTTTAACAAGTGCATGAATCTCTAGTAAAACCAGGAGTCTTTTTTCTTTTTCTTTTTCGTCAGAGCCGAAATGATAAGATCATCATATACGTCAATGCTTACGGCACACCATTCTACCGCCACCTGTCATTTAGTGACATAAAACCAGCATGCAACATCCATGATGATCTTCTTTTTTTTTTTTTTTTATTCGGAACATGCTCTAGACTCGAGCTCATTTTTTTTTTTTAATAATTCGAAACATGCCCCGACTCGAGTACACCAAATCAAAAGGAGTACGTCGTGACCTTACACAGCAACCCCAGACGAGTCACGGGAGTTTAAATTCAGAGTAATATTCGAATTCAAGACCATAAGAGTCTTTAAGAACCCGCTTATTACTCCGTAAGGGCAACATGCATGATGATCATATAAAGTCCTACGCCCCTCAAACTCCCCCCCCCCCCCCCTCTCCGCCCCCCCGACAAATTCTTGCTTCCCACGCTTTCATTAATGGCTCCGGTTAGCACCGAGACGGCTAGACGAAAACAAAATGGAACCAATTATAAAGCCTCGCTCGCGTCTGCATTTTATCCTCTCTATATATATATATATATATGCATATAAGATAAACATACAAGTGACAAAAGTAAAGGGTAGTTCCGGACCCGCAACTTACCCAACAGTCGCTTGCTCTCACAAGGCCAGAGCCCTGTCATCGTGGACGCCTCTAAGAAGGAAAAATGACGGATAGACAGCATCAATTCTTTTATGATGAAAACAATTAGGGAAAAACTTCGCGTTGATCTTAATTTCAATAGGGAAATCTATCTAAAGAAAATTGTTGTAAGAGGGAAAAAATAAAAAGAAATAATTTAGCATAACTCTCAGCATAACTCTCATGCTTCGCCACTACGCCAAGAGGGAAAAAATAAAAAAGAAATAATTTAGCACTACGCTGTGGTCGGCAGACTCGTTACCACCACTACCAACAAGTCACAATCTGAAGCCCCAGGGTCAAACCAGTACAGCGTAGTTTTAACTTTAACCCTTTCTATCACATCGAAGCAAACTACTGCAGCCATCAGCATGCAGCAGATTCACGTATAGTGTAGACACGTGCTTCTATAACGCCCACAGATTCTTTCTTTTGGTTTTCGCGGGCCGGTTGGGGAAGGGGGGGTGTGGGTATGGGTATGGGATCTAACTGAGGAGGCAGAGATTGTAGCTACTGGAGTATTATATAGCCCACAGACTGTAGTTACTACATAGTTTTCGATAAAAGTAAGGGAAAATTTCAGATACCTCCCTGAAGTTTCTAGTTTCTGACAGTCTCACTCTCCTTTCCTGTAATTTCAAAAATACCACAAACTTCCCCTAAAACTAAATAGATAGTCTCAAAGTAGATCCAATTCAAAAATATAAATAATAAAAAATGGGGAGTTGGAGAGAGAAATAACTATATACCACAAATGCTCTGATTATCTTGCATTAGTGATTTTATCTATATGATTAATACTAATTTACCTATAAACATCTTACACGGGGTGATTTATAAGGTATAATCAGTTTACAAACATGTACATTATATTAGATGTTAGTTACTTGTCTGTTTCTATATTGGTTAAAACTTTTTATATATCGTTAATTACATTAATTGTGTTTATAACTAATTACACCAAATTTGTCCTAATAATCATGAAATATTAGCTAATTTGTGAGAATATTTAAGTCTTTTTGGCCATGATGATGTAAGAAATGGGATCTAAAATTTTGACAAGGAAGATTTGTGATATTTTTAAAATCATAGGAGAGGAGAGTGAAACTGTCAAAAACCTCGGGAGAGTTATTTGAAACTATCCCTAAAAGTAATGAGGAAGCGAAGACTTAAAAATTATAATATAGCGCATTGGCTTGACGTGGCAAATTTCCAAGCAGCAAGTGTGTCTGTAAAGTAAGTGTGAACGGAGAGAAAAAAATGGTCATGGGGTCTTTGGATGGGAAGTGGGTTTAAACCTCCGACAAAAAAGTACAAAATGACAAGGATTACGTGTCAGCAGGTGGACCGTTTCATCATTCTATTAGTTATTCCATGCACGACAAATTGGGGTGTGCTTTGTACAGGTTAGAATTAGATTAAGAAAACGACTTTTTAACTCCCTGTCCTGCAGAAAGAAGGTCACAACAGAACGGGACGATACAACCTCGGACGAGGAGAGGCCTCTTTTTGGTCTGCCCAGAACTCAATACGCCAAATACATCGTACGCGGATAGGTGGATTTCACATGATTATATTCAATGTCATGAGGCAATAATTATTCCACAAGATGAGATTCGAAGTCGGATAATATTTTGAACCGTTAAGCATCCGGTTTGGGTAACTAGCATCCTGCTCGAGTAGGGCACCCGTTACCCGCGGGCGGTTTGATTGACTTGTCTGCAAGTGCAAGAAAAGAGGCACCGTTTGGATTTGAGAGTTTTTCAAAAATTTATTTTTCATCTGCAATATTACAGTAAAAATTTTACAAAAATAACTTCAAAAATATCATATCCAAACAAATATTTTAAAAACAACTCCAAATATACAAAAAAATATATTAATATATATATTAATATATAAATATTATATACAAAAAAATATATTTTGTTTAATAAATATATAAATACATATATAAATATTAATACAAAAATTAATATATAAAAATATTTATATACATAAATATATATAAATATTATATACAAAAAATATATTTTGTTTAATAAATATATATTTATATATAAATATTAATACAAAATATAAATATATATAATTAAATATATTTACCTATATTTAAAAATATATTTATATTTATTTAAATATATAAATATATTTAATTATATATTTATATAAATAATATATTTATTTATATAAATTTATAAATATATTTATTTCAAATTTTTTTATAATATGCAAATTAATATATATATATATATATATTAATATGTATATTTTGATATTTATATTTCAATTATGAATATAAGATATATATAAATTATAGTAATATTAATATATTTCAATTATGTATATTAATATGTATAATATATATAATATATCAATTGAAATAAATATTATATTTTTATATATAAATATTAATATTTTGTTTAAAATATATTTATATATATTTTTATTTAAATATAAATATATATCTATATATATTTATATAAATATATAAATATATTATTTAAATAAATATATATATATTTATATAAATATGTAAATATATTTATTTCAACTTTGATTTATAATATGTATATTAATATATATTGATTTGTATATTTCAATTATGTATATTTTATTATATACAAATTATATTAATATTAATATGTAATTTAGATTATGCATATTAATATGTATATTATATATATTATATCAATTGAAATAAATATATGTATTTATATATAAATATTAATATTTGTTTTAAATATATTTATATATATTTATATAAATATATACATATCAATTTTGTTTTATAATATGCATATTAATATATATTAATATATATATTTGTATATGTACATTAAATATATAATAATATACATATTAAAAAACAAAATTGAAATAAAAATATTATATATATAAATAAATAAACATTAATATATAGAAATAGAGCCAGTATATATTTAAAAAGAATCTCAACAAAATTCGAAATTATAAAAATATTCAAAAAAAAATTTTAAAAATACCTCTAAAAACAATCCAAAAACATCTACAGTAAAAGTTTTTCATATACAAAGTTACAGTAAAGTTTTTTAAAAAAACCTGCAAAAACAGTTAATCCAAGCGGAAATCTTCTACGTACATGGAAAGCTAAATGAGAACGACAGAGTGGTTAATCGAACATAAAGGGTGCCTTTGGGAGTTGAGGATTCGAACGGAAAAGAAAGGGAAAGAAGAGAAAGCG